TTATAAGTTTAATTATTAACAAATTGTGTTAGCATTCTTAAATACTTGATGTCAGGTCATATTCCGCTTAGAGCAGGTTATATGTTAGTAAAATGCTTTACTGGCTTACTTTAAAATCTTTATAAATATTCTCAATTTCCATACTTTTTACAATTACAAATATATTGTTTTTTAAAAAATCCACCTATTAAATTTAAACAGTGAGACTATGACGTTATACTATCAATTAAAATGTTCACAAGCGTTGCCTTTGAAGTGTGCTCTGTGGATAGTCCCGCACCGTATTGCGATGCATCTGCACATCCTGCACACCCCCCTTGACCTCGATGACGGCAACCGCATCGAAGGGCATGCGATGGACATAGTGGGCATAGTGTTGACCATTTATCGCTATCAGATAACAGTCGCTTGTCACAAGCACTTGGACGGCAAATCTTTCGCCTCGGTGCACGGGTATTGGGCTGGAAATCTCTTCCCGGTTCCACGATTTACGTGCTCTGCTATTACGTATTAGATGATTTTTTTTAAACTGGAACTTGATGTGCAGCGGAACATCTCTTGTTTCATTCTCATATAGGAAGCTAATCTCGAATCTGTGAATGTGTAGATTTTTAAGTATAAAAACAATATTTTTCTTTATGGACTTGTTTCACTTACTCCTGACACCTGCCATCGATCCTGCCGCTGAAGAGAAAACTATCTGCCTCGCACAGTGGGCCCACCTCAGCCACATTATCGGCAAAGTAAAGCATGGGCTGTATATCATACTGTACGTGTGGTGGAGGCTAAAGTGGAATAAAGTATGATTCAATTGGGACTACGATAAATAAAGCTGAATATGGGCTAAGTAGGGGGTTGATTTTAAACTGTTACGTTCGAACTGTGGGAAATAACCTGCAGGAAGTGACTTTAAAATTGTAACCAACGACTTTCAAACTGTAATTTTAGGTAAAGTGAATTGTTGAAAGGAAATTCGACAGAAATCTACTCTATAGTTCTGTAATTACAGATGATAAATGGGTGGAAAGAAGTTCGTTACCAAACCTCTTTATAGGTCGTTAATTAAAAAATAGGTGGAAAACATCCATACTGAAGTGACTTTAAAATTGTAGCCAACTACCTTCAAACTGTAACTTAAGCAAATGTAAATTGAAGCTAATGTTACGTCATTTTACGTCTAGAAGGAGTCATTCCTGTTGCTACTTCAATAATAACATGATTTCATTTCTTACCGCCAACTCGAGAAAACGATGTGGATAGCCTCGAACCTCGGAACGGTGTATGAGCACATCCTCCAAGTCGCCATCGACTTCAAGGAAACGAACTGTGTCGTAAGGATGACGATGAGTGTAATGGTCCACGTGATGGCCATTAAATGATATCAAGTAACAGTTCTGTGTGACTAGCACTTGAACGGCGAATCTTTCGCCCTGCCGGAAAGGAAAAGGTATCACAGAGTGGATTTCCTCACGTCCCCAAGTACCACGTGTTCTGGTGTTCCGCACCACATATTGTTTGCCGAATCGTGGATTAATATGCAAGGCCACATCACGAGTCTGATTGTCATACACGAAGTTTATGGCAAATCTGTTTAAGAAGATCTTGGTAGTATTAAGTCGATAAATAACGTGTGTAAATTTACCCTTGTGTCTCCGGTAAAATTTTACCAGTGAACAAATAACTAACACCCTCGTAAAGTTTTCCGATTTCCGTGACGTAATTTGCTATAATGATAATATAGATATATCAAAAGATTTGGCTTTAATATTTTCATTTGTTGAGCTTACCCTCTGGGATGGCAAACGTATCAAGAGTTACTATGGCAGATTCACCAACCATAGGAGCACTCGGTCTGATGCTGGGATAAAACTGGGGAGGCACTACTTCACTGCCAGGATGAACCTCAGCGGGTGCAGATTCAATGCCAGGATATACCTCGGCGGGAACAGATTCAATGCCAGGATAAACTTCGGCGGGAACAGATTCAATGCCAGGATAAACCTCAGCGGGCACGGTTTCAACGACGGGCGACTCCACTACAGGGACTACGGGTTCAGGATCAATTACAGGCGTTACGGGTACAACGATAGGAATGCTAAAAAACATAAACAAATACATTTATTATATTCTGAAAAATTAACTTATAAAATCAATGTTCTCAAAAATGTTTTCGTAACTGATCGAAAGGGAAACAAACAAATTTTATACAAAAGTTTTCCGCTAATTTACCACTGCTGCGAGTGGAATTTCCGCTGAAACACGTATTCATAATATTCTTATGTTTTTAATATAATTTTGTTGTAAACTCTAAGGTGGAATACATTTCTGGAAAAGTGCTAAAAACCCCTTAAGTGAATTTGAACAAAGTTCTTTGAAAAACGAAAAAATATCATTCAATCGATTTTCGAATGTCCATAAACCTTGTCTTAGCATGGAACAACGACAAATAATCTAACTTAGACTGTTAAAAGTAGACTTTAAAATTAAAATCGTTTTGATTACAATATTGCATACTTTTAGGATTTCATATAGGAAAATTGAATAATTGGCCAATTTTCGCAGCCCATAGATATTAATATTTAAATTAACACTCACCTATTAGGATCCGATTTGGGGCGCAATGGAGCACCGTCCTTCAGCTTGCAATTGGGATATTGGGCCAAGTATGTCATCACGGATTGCTCATCCACATTGGGATCAACTAGTTCCTCCGGCTTGATTAGCTGGCGGACATCCAGCCAATCGTCAGCCAGTTGCATTGCCTCGGTGGCATTCTGCACGGAATTATCGGGATCCCAGAGCTCCCAGTCGGGGCACAGGCCAGGGGCGCAGCCATCCACCAAAGCGCCCACCGGCTTGCCCGTGGTCCAGTCTTTGGTGAAATTATTGATAGACATGCCGGGTATCTTGATTTGTATCCAAGCCAGCAGGCTGCAGCAGCACAAGAAATACATTTAGCTATCGAGCGGCCGTATTTGAGTAAGTCTTAAACCTACCGTTGCTTGGGCGTTTGACCCGTTTCCGCCGATGGTTTGTCCTCATCGCCCTCCCACACGGGCATCGATATCGAGTAGTGCAGAATGAGCGTCCATATGAGGCCCAATATAAGCTTCAGCTTGCCATCGACTATATCGGAAGAGTCTGTGAATTGAAATTGTATTGTTGTAGAACTGGAACCGAACTGAAGTCTAGTCATGGATAAGTTACCGATGTTCACAATTTTAATGCCCTCATCCTGCAGAAATTGCAGGGCAATCGATACGTTCTCCAATTTCTGGCTACGGAATGTGGTGCGTTTATTGTGAGGAGGCAATTGTTTCTGCGACAGCACCTCGATGAGGCCAATCAGACACAGGCCATCGGACAGATCCGTTTCCAAATTATCTATGGAACTACCGATGCTCTTCAGATGCTCATTGGTCCAGCGTGTGAAGGTGTTCTGTTGGATTTGCTTCCATTGGGCGTGCTCGTCAAGATTATGTTCGGCCTTCATATCTAATTGGAGTGCTGTTCTTGCTGTGAATAAAAGTTTGTCAGCCAGGATTTGAGAATAATATAATTATAACTTTACTGGAATTTTGAAACTTTTCGTAATCGTATTTCTACGCCAATGTAATGTTTTCGCCGTGGCAATTTCTGATCAACTGAGTTGCTTGCGCCTTTCAGCCCAAAGTCTTAATGGCACATCCAGTTGCTGCATACCCTACAGCTAGTGAATGGGTTTATTATACTCTTAAGAGCGTGTACAGTTAGAAGTAGCCTTCAGAATCTACCCTTGAACTTTACCGAATCCATTCATAAGAATACATAGATCTGCTTGTGTCTTTCTATAGCAAAACATATTGGAAAACAAAAACCAAAACAATATTATTTTATATAATAATTATATTCTTTTGTTTTAGCAGGGTATTTGCTAATCAACTACTGTCGTCTAGAGTATGCGTTGTCTGCATTTATCAGCAAAAAGTTAAGTTCTAAAAAATGTTGATAAGAGGCGTGACTAAATCCAACATTGCGAACAAACAAATATTTTGCAAACAAAATTTGTCATATTTTTATGTCAGTTTATCAGTATTGGAACTTTTTATTTTTGCTTCACAGAAATATATAATTGGCATTTGATAAGCGGGAAAAACTTAGCTGAATCATTAACTGACGGCATAATTTTAAATAATTTTGGGAGCCTCACAAAATATCTGTCCATATAGAATAACGTATTTATGTTTTAAACTATGCAGAAATAATCTAATCAATTTGTGAAGAGTTCCTAACCAGGAGATACGCGACAGACAGAGTTCTAAAGTATCCAGAGTTCTAAAGTATCCTAATAGACATTTCTTTGCTGAATTAAATACATTCAAAACAAATGCGAAAGCAAGCTCTGTCTCAACGTTTATTTTGATTCTAGCTTTCAACTTAAGACAAACATAATCGAATTTATTTGATTACCATATAGGGAATCTATTTAAGGTGATACATAATATTTTGATTTTCTGCACAACCTGCTTATCGAAAATGAGAAAGAGTTGTCTGCCAGTTAGATAAAAAATAGATTTGCATGGCAGAACAACTAATCCTTCCGTTAAGTTGCAAAACGGTTGAATATTTGAATAACAGAGCGAGGTTCAGGTCGTTCACAATAAAAAATGTAGAATTAGCGGCACGTTTCCATTAAACAAGATTTAAGCTTAGTTGCAATCTAGTAAGGTCGCTTTGATTAATTAAGTTAAAAACGCCCAGGTGTTCGTCTCCAGTTTGTGGGCTGTGATATGTCGGTGAGCGTTGGGTGGGAGTCTAAGCAAGTGGGCGAAATGTCGCAGCCCTCCGGCTCTTTAGAAATAAGTTTTCAGGTGGAGCTGTGGACAGACTCTACAGGCTTGACTCGACTGCTGATTATGACTATTTGTACTTTATGGCATCGAAAAACCAATCCTTTGCCAGGCATCTACTACATGCATTTGCAACAAGCCATTCCATTCGTATCAAATCAAATACAGCAATTAAATATATCACACACATACGTTTACTGATAATAACTTAAACTAATAATAACTGAGCATAGTCTTAGTTAGTCGCTTAATTAATTATCTGCTGTTGCACACCCGCACATTTGCCATTGCCGCTCATAACCCGCCGCATCCACTCTCTGTAGTAACGCGCATCCATAAATACGTCGGGTACACCCTGTGCACAGGGCACCATAAAGTTGAGTATGCCAATTAGCTGGCCATTGTGGACCAGCGGACCGCCAGTGTCGCCATGGCAGGCGCCTATGTTTTGCGCTCGAAAGGCGCACACATGACATGCCCCCAGCTGAAGATCCTCGTAGGCGGCGAGTCGCATCTCGCATTCTTGCCGCGTGATGTGCTGCTGTTGCACCATTTGCAGCAGCGTGGGTGTGGCACCGGCCGCCGACTGTGTGCCCCAGCCGGTGAAGAGCAGCTCCGCGGTGCCCACAGGCCAGGCTAAATGCGGCAACGCCACGGGCTGCGTGAGTGCATCATAGCGAATGCTCTCGTTCAGCTGGAGCAGTGCAATATCATTATGGTACTTGGGCTGGTCGTAGTTGCAGTGCACATAGATCGCCGAGGGATAGTGGAGAGCACCTGGTTGGGTATAGCGAATGGTGCCCACAGCCACGCGTAGGCGATCCGCTGGCCAACCACTCACACAGTGTCCCGCAGTGAGTGTCCAGCTTGCTGAAAGGATGACCCCGCCGCACAGATGGCTGCCCGCCAGAGTTTGCAGTGAGATCTGATAGGGTGCATCGCCCTCACCAGCATTCTGACCACCGACAATGGAGTGGGCGGGGCGTGGCAGCAGCAGCTGCAATAGCAGCAGCGGGTATATCAGTGGCAACAGGCTGCGTCCGTGTCGTGTCATATTTGATATCCAAGTGCAGACTGAGCGCTCAGCACGGGCAACAATTGGTTATGTTCCTTGAAACGATAAGGTATATCGACTTTGAAGCCAATCTGATTGTAAGTGATTTTTTACGATCAATTTGATAAATGGTCAAGCAATAATCGATAAAATGTAGAGATAAATGTCAAAATAATCACAAGATCGCAAGATAAAAACTTGTTGGACCCTGATCTAGATGTAGCCCCCATACTAAGTGGGGTTTGCAGTATTTACCTACGCCTATATCCTGAGATTATAAATAGCATTGTTTGTTATTCTATTTATTTATTTGTTTGTCTTGGCTAAAGTCAAATATTGACAGCGCTATTCAAGATGTTGATAGTTAATAACTACTAATTTCTTTTAAACTAACTACTCTTATTTTAATCCTAGTCTCTTCATTTTACGCCAAACTAGATTGATATATATGTATATCTATATATATCACATGTATATTTGTAAATGGTTATATGAAACAATAAATAACATTTATTTACATTTATAAATACCCTGATAGGAATAATATTCGGGCGTTTGATCCTCAGATCCTTTAGTTGCACTAATGTGGAAATGTTGTTGCTCTTATGTAAGGAGCGTAATAAAGCTCGGGCTTGATAAGTTTAGTTGAGATATCTGTAGAAAAACCATAATTTTTAGAATTCCAAAAATATACCTAAGCAAGCACTATGATATGAATAAATACACTTTAGTGCTAAATGTTATCTTTACTCAAAAATTCACAACCACCGGATATATGATAACATCAATATTTTCAAGCTGGTCACGGATATTATAGTTTTGTCATGAAATGTGAAATGCATAAAAAGAGACATCTCCGACCGAAAGTATATTTACGGGCTACATTATTTTCACATATCTGCAAAACAATAAGGCAAATGTCTATAAGGGTATTGAATCTTCTGCATGGTCAAAATATCCGTACATTCTCGAGGAAAAAATATGATTCGCCTGGGGCTTCGCTTTAGCTGTTTCTTGAGCAATTGTTAATACTGGATTTGAACCGGCTTGGTCAAAAACTTTTGCCAGGCGTATAAATAATATAATAATCATAATAAATCTAGTTTCCTATTCACATCAAACCAAGCGGCCTGTTGATAAGGCAAGCGAATGGGTTTATAAGGACTGGACCTGGCGAGGTAAAAACCCGTATACCTAATGTCACTTAAAGGTAATACGAATAGCAAATAGCCCGGCTATCGCTAGACTGGGCTATGGCTCTATTGCAATCATAAACTGCCCAAGGCGTTCATAAAATCTGCCTGATAAAAGTCGGTTAAAAAACCTCCGATAAAACTCCTAGCAAATAACACTGTGGTTAGTTTGCTTTAGTTTCTTGGACGGAAAAGATGAAGTTGCTCCACTTTTGCCTAATAATTTTATTGCTGCAGCAGCTAACTGTGGCCAAGCGTTTACTGGACTTGGATGCTGCCAACGCTGGCCAGCTCTCCGACAAGGGTCGCATTGTGGGTGGTCAGACGGCAGAGATTGGATTTGCCAAGTATCAGGTGTCGCTGCAGGTCACCCTCGGCTATCACAACTGTGGCGGTGCCATACTGAACGAGCAGTGGGTCATCACGGCGGGTCACTGTGTGGTCGACTTTCCAGTCGAGTTTATTGTGGTGGTCATGGGCACCAACCGCTATGCGGAACCCGGCGCCATCCACTACCCTGCGGAGAAGTATGTGCACTGCATGTACGATAAGCCCTATATGCATAATGACATAGCCCTGCTGAAGCTCAGCGAGAACATAACCTTCAATGAGCTGACGCAGCCCATAGAGCTGCCCGTGGGTCCGGTGCGTGAGGGCGCGGAGATTGTGCTCACCGGCTGGGGCGCTGAGGTGCCCAATGGCAGTGCTAACGAGAATTTGCAAAAGCTGAGCTTGGGCTTTGTCAAATTGGATGAATGCCTGGATATATTCAATCAGACCAGCAACATGGGCGTGGGACACATTTGCACATTCAGCAAGGACGGTGAGGGTGCCTGTCATGGCGATTCGGGTGGACCGCTGGTAAGCGATGGTCATCTAGTTGGTCTGGTCAATTGGGGCCGACCCTGTGGCAAGGGATTTCCGGATGTGCAGGCCAATGTGTACTACTATCTGGACTGGATTAGGAACGTCATCAGCGGCAATGCCAAGTGCAGCACCTGAACAGCTCATAAAATAAATATTTAAATAAATTTGTTATATGGAAATTGTGTTATCTTTTTTATTTCAATCACACGCCATAGTTGCTGGCATAGCAGTGACACGCCTTGCAGGAGGACTCCGCCTGGGTGCGCCTGATCCAATCGCGATGATAATGCACCGAGGCATAGCTGTCCGGATAGCCAACGGCACAGGGATGGCCCCAATTGACCAGGCCATACAGTACGCCATCCCAGGCCACCGGACCGCCTGAGTCACCATGGCAGGCGCCCTGGCCCTGGTCCGTTAATGTGCATATGTGGCAGGGCCCATTGTTCGGATCGCCGCCCATAATCTCCTGGCAGCTCTTGTAGTCCACATACGTCAGCGTCGCCTGTTGCAGCACATCGGGCGTATCGCCCCACAAGACCGTCGAGCCCCAGCCGGTCAGCAGCAGCTGCGAGCCGTTCGCGGGCGGCCCATCGGGCAGGATTGCCGGCTTTGTGTATTCGTTCCACACAATCGAATCGTTGAGACGCATCAGTGCAATATCATTGTGATACTCGGGAAAATTATAATTGCAGTGCACCCAATATTCCTCGACAAAGTATTTGGCATCTGGTTGCTGCCAGAGCACGGTGCCCGTCGCGACGCGCAAATAGGTCGGATTATAGCCATAGACACAATGAGCTGCGGTCAGCACATGGCGCTCATCAATGATTGCTCCGCCGCACATATGATCCCCGTACATGCCCTGCAGCGAGATTTGATAGGGTGCCTGACCCAGCTGGGCATCGCTGCCAGCAACCACGCGCCCTTCAATGCCCTTGCCCGAGCGGGACCACTGCTCCAGCCGCTCGGCCGACATCTTGCCCAGCCTCTTGGCACTGGCCGGTTCGCTTCGGCTGAGCAGGCATAGGGCCAGGCACAGGATTGCCGCAACTCTTGCACAACATTTAAACATTCTGACGGCGCAATCTGTGAACGCGTATTAAACGCGCCTCCAGATCGTGATTTTCCTTTTATACTCGCAAAAATCAAGACATATCGCCCCAGTTTTATCATAAATCGGATTGGATGTTGTCCCACATGTTGATATCTGGCCCATAAAATGATATAGACGCGTTCTGATTACGATTTTGTTGGAGGTAATTAATATCGCAGTCGGACACTGTGTTGATGACTCGTCAACTAAAAGAACTCTACGCAAAGGAACAGCTGCAAGAAACGCAGATACCCAGTGAAACCCCGGCATAAAGCTATTACTATTTCTCGTTAAGAATTTCGGTAAATTTAAGAAAACTGCAGATGCATTTTCTGAAACCCTTCGGAATATAGCACGGAAAAATCTTTTTAGCATACTTTTGGGCTTGCCAGCGAAAAGTGTTATCCACTAAGATTTGGTTCGGTGCTAAACTATATCTTCGCTAAAGCAAAGGATAAGGCGGAGGACGGGCGCTTATTTAATTCGGAATCTAGCCTGGAATGTAAGACCAACTCATAGTTGTTTAGTATTGTCAGCATTAATTTAGTTATTGTAATATTAACAGTAATTTTCAATAAAGAATCTGTCCAATTCAGGCAAATGAGAAACGAGGATACTAGACGAATCTTGGAATGCGATGATAGGAAATTATATTTCATAAAAATTTGCAAGCAAGTAAGCTTTGGATATCTCCAGAATTAATGTACACGTGCAACGCTCCTATAATTTTCTACAGAAATTAATATTTTCATTTGTTTTGTTTGCGCCCGCCAGAGCATACATACGTATTACATGAGTGTTAAATTATTATTGTTTTAAAATTTTTCCATCAAATTTAACATTTATATGTATTTTTTCATTCATCTTTATTGAACAAAAGTAAAATTAAACAAACAAATTAAATATTGTCACACGATTCGAGCCAGCGACTTTTCGCTTGTTAGTCCGATGCTAAGACACCTACTCCATGTAGGTTCTTCTTTTATAAAATTAATTTAATATACACAAACCTTGTCTCTCTCATTACTCAAGGTGGATTGCAGGTGGGTTTTTTACCCAATGTGAAGCTTCTGCAAAAATTTCAAATTTCTAACCGTTTGAATAGATCTAACTATATGTATAATTATACTTTTTTTAGTTAGCTTAAATCTTTTACTATAAATAATTCAATAAAAAAATAATTTAATATTAAAAATACAGATTGTTTATTTATATATATTAATGATTAAATCAAAAAACAAATTCAACATAAACCATGTTCATACCCTGTAAAAGCGAAGCAGATATCAATTAATGCGTCGAGCGCAATAACTTTTATTAGCCTCTGAATAATACTCAATTTAAGCACCAAATTTTCCGATAAAAACAAAACCATAAAAGAATTGGATGTCCATTAGCAGACAGGACTTTAAACTGTCCAAGCTTCAATTTTAACAATGATCGTGCAATTATTTATATAGATCCACATAAATAAATTAATAAATTAATTTACACGCTGCTTGCAACCGGCGATGGTGCGTCGTATCCAGTCCGCATAGTAGATGGTATTCGCATGCATATCCGGCTTGCCAACGGCACAGGGTGCACCCCAATTGACCACGCCTACCAGCTTGCCCTGCCACATGAGCGGGCCACCCGAGTCGCCGTTGCAGGCGCCCTCGCCTTCCCGCGTATAGGTGCAAAGGTGTCCAATGTCGACGCCATCGGTGTAATCCCAGGCGGCCCTACACTCGGCACGATCGATGATCGTCAGATTGATCGTCCGCAGCAGCTGCTCGTATGGCCAGTTGAGTTCGGGTGCACCCCAGCCGGTCAGGATGACCGTGGCACCAGCTGGTGGCTGTTGTGCACTCAGTGCGGCCGCTTGGGTGCGCTCGTTCCACACAATCGACTCGTTCAGATGGAGCAGACCAATGTCATTGGCATAGACGGCCGGTATATCGTACATGCTGTGCACAATGGCCTCGTCCACATGGAGCATCTGTCCCGGAGCGAGTCTATCATTTGTGCCCACTACAATGCGCAGCTCCTCGATGGCAAAATCGAGGGCACAATGGCCGGCGGTCAGGATCCAGCGCTCATCGATGATGACTCCACCGCAGATATTTGTTCGCCAACTCGTTTGTATCGAGACCTGATAAGGTGCGGCACCCTCTGCCGCCTCCTGGCCGCCAACAATTCGATTGCTGTGCGTCTGATATTTATGATGGATACGCTTGGCCCGCGTGACGTCAATGGAACTGCCCAGCAATAGACACAGGCACCAGAGCCAAGACCAGATCAATGCAGACATGAGGAGGTGAGTACGTGTTAGAACTGCAATTAATGACCAGCAATGAAAAATGGAATGTCCCCAGTCGAAGCTTTTATATGCATGCGCTACACTCAGAGAAAAACGGTGTTCGCAATACGAATATGACTGGTATAGAATTTAGACAGCTATTTTTTGGGATTGTGTTTTTTTTTCAAGCATAACTCTACGATATATACTGCTGGATGCAAAAACTAGGTTTTCGTTAAGTATACGATTATTTCGCTTTTTGGATATTGGATATTGGATATTTCCAACAAAACTATTTACCCGAAAAAGAAATGTTGACCAGATCGTATTTGGATAACTCTTATACTTAAGTAAACTACTTATTCTTTAACTTTTTCTGCGAGTGTACTAAACCTTTTATCGCACCTGGAAAGATTTGGACAGCGGCTATCGCGCACTGTTTTTAACCAAGCAACTGGTCAAATCTTTATGAATGTAAATAAAGTCCATATCAGTTGTATATCTTTACGATGTGCAGGATAAAACGCACACGGTACATGCGCTCAATTGGAGGGCCTATAAACCGGCCAACTATATAGGGGCTGGCTGTGGCCGACTCTTAAGCACATCATGCCCGCCTCCACCAGGCGTTATGAGTGGCCAAAACTTATCGTGCCGCCATAGTTAAAGGCCATAAGCACAGCCGATAAGACATGTCCGATGTGTAATTCCGGAGCAAATCGTGAATGAATTTCAGTTTCAATTCAAAACTTACAACAATGGCATCAGTTTCCAGATCAGTGTTGCAGCTCAGCCTCGGCCAGCTGATGCTGCCCCTTCTGCTGCTGCAGCTTCTGCAGCCCCTAGCCATTGATGCTCTGCGTTTGCGCGGGGAACAGCTGCTGCCGGGTGAAGCAGCTGAGCGGCTACATCCGAATCCGAGGCTAGCACAGGGCCGCATTGCGGGTGGCCAGCTCGCGGAGCTGGGCGATTGGCCTTGGATTGTCAACATACAGAATCAATTTGGGTTTCCCTTTTGCAGTGGCGTCATCATCGATGATTTGTGGATCTTGACCGCCGCCAGCTGTGTGTCCGGCTTGCGTCCACGCAATTTGGTGGCCGTAGCCGGCACCTTGACCACCTGGAATACCACTGCACCGGGCTACTATGTGGATCAGGTTCATGTGCATTGCAACTTTGATAAGCCGCTGTATCACAACGATATTGCGCTGCTGCATTTGAGCGGCGCCATTGAGTACAATGACGTTACGGCCAAGATAGAGCTCGCGGAGCTGGATGAGCTGGAGCAGGGCGAGCCACTGAGCTTTGCAGGCTGGGGCACAGATGAACCAAGTGGCAGCACTTCCCAGTATTTGCAGCAATCACAGGGTACTTATCTGCCCGTTGACGAGTGCCGCACCGTGCTGGACAACACTGACGATGTGGATCTGGGTCATGTCTGCGTCCAAATGGACGCGGGCAAGGGCGCCTGCCATGGGGATGCCGGCGGACCGCTTATCAATTCCCGGCAGCAGCTGGTGGGCATCGGCAACTGGGGTGTGCCCTGCGCCCGTGGCTATCCGGATGTCTACAGTCGTGTGGCCTTCTACAACGATTGGATACGCACCATCACGACAGGCTGTGGCCTAGCCTAGAACATAAACATGTGACCATATTTGGGCCGCATTATCAGCACTTGATTTCTTGTCTTGCCGCAATAAAATGTTATGCGATTTTTATGTACCCAGCTATTTTTTCTTTGGTTTTATTCTGATTGATATTAGCCCCAAACTTTATGGCGGGTCATTAATATCCAATTCGTTGTTCAGCTGCTTGCCATGGACGTTTCCTTCAGATCAGTCCACTTTTAACTTAGCTGCCAACATGTCTTACCAAATCGGAACGTTGCTCTTCCTGCTGTTGCTGCTGTTGTCGTTGTCCTCCTCGCAGGCCTCACACCAGCGTCGCGTCTTTCAGTCGGTGCCCGCGTCCAAGTTCAATTCCAATTCGCGTATTGTTGGTGGTGGCTTGGCTGCCTTGGGCTCAGCACCCTACCAGGTGTCCATACAGAATTCCATGGGGTACATATTAGATTCATTATTTAGTTTCTCAATAATATAAAATATACTGGAGTTCGTGGTTTTAGTGATTCAGTTTTTCAAGATTACAGATTACGAAATAAAATTAATAACTTAAATAAATACAATAAATATTATCAATAATAATATAAAAAATATAAGTAAAAAAATAATAGTAAGAAGAATATTACGAATAATATTAATAACAATAATAATAATAGTTCTAAATATAAAAATAATCATAAAAATTATAAAATATGTATATCAACTATATAAAACGATATTATATATTATGTATAAATTTATAAAAATGAAAAACTAACATAAAGATGTTGTCCTTTAAGGAAGAAATGGAAGAAAAGCAAAAATGTGGAACAGATACAACAAAAATCGAAGTGTACATAAATATATAAATCAAGCATATATGTATATACATATATATATAAATTGTAATTAATGTAGTTGTATATCAAGTGTTCAATGCTTAAACTTTAAACGGATACGATAGTTTTAAAAAGTCCTGGTTCAACTTAACCTTAACTAACCTAACCTAACCTCACTTTAATAGTTTGGCTACTTACTTACTTTATCTGATTCTCTTCAACTGCTTACAGCAATCACATGTGTGGTGGCGCCATTATACACGATCAGTACATCCTGACCGCCGCCAGCTGCCTGGCGGGCATGCGCAAAAGCAATGTTAAGGTGGTCATGAGCACCAATGACTGGGCGGGTCCAGCCTGGGAGTACTACGTGGAGGAGATAATTCTGCACTGTAAGTTCGATCAGCCGCTGTATCATAATGATATTGCACTGATCAAAATGCAAACTCTGGTGGCCTACGATGAGGTCACGCAGAACATAACAATCGCAGCGCTCGACGATCTGGTGGCGGGAGACAAGCTCAAGATGACAGGCTGGGGCAGCACATCGGAGAGCGGTGAATATGAATTTGATCTAAGGGAGCTGGAGGTGACCTATGTGCCAACGGCCAACTGTAATTCAACCTATGGCCACACCAGCGATCTGGACATTGGACATCTGTGCGCAGTGGGGCAGGTGGGCGCCGGCGCCTGTCATGGCGATCACGGCGGGCCGCTGGTCGATAGCCAAGATCGCCTGGTGGGCATTGGCAATTGGGGCGTGCCCTGTGGTCGAGGCTTTCCAGATGTATTTGCGCGCGTCAGTTTCTACTACGACTGGATTCAGTCCACAATCAATGGCTGCGGCATAACCAAATAGTCGCTCTGGCCTCTAATCTTTGCCAGACGTCTGGACGATGGTAATCAGCATGAACTACAAGGTATACTTTGTACCCACGAATATTTATGCATTGCCAAAATTCACTCCCTTTAATAATATACGTTTAAAAATCGACTTGTCATCTTGCTGAATACACTGTGACAAATATTAACTTACAATTTTTAGAGCTATTTAGGTGTTTAAACAGTTGTTCTTTTGAACTCAAGCTTGTAAGACACCTCAAACTAAAAAAAAAAAATTCTTTAACTATAATATATATATATTAAATATAGCTCTTATTGATATTAAAGTATAAAAAAATTAATGAAAGTATTTAATTAACAACTAGACTGCGCTGAAAAAATGTATCCCGCTGGAAGCGAACCGGCGACTTCTCCCTTGCCCGCCGAATGTCTTTCAGCGAGAGAGAGAGAGAGAAAGAAAGAGAAAGTGAGTGGGTTAGAATGTGAGTGAGAGAGATAGAGAGTGAGACTGAGAGAATTATATAGAGGACAAAAATGCTTTTATTATCATTTTGTGTAAAACAATTTAGGCTTGAATTCTTAGTTTAATTTAAACCAAAAGATACTAATTTGAGCTAAATTTTTAGTTGACATTTGGTGTTAATTTCTGAAATTATATTTTAATCCGAAATCAAACGAAGCCTTAAAGATGAGTAAGTAAATTTAATCGAAGGATGGTCTTAAACCATTTCGAATTCGATCTTCCAATTTAATGCGAACTTACCAAAACAATTGCCTTACAAAAACACAACGTAAGCCACATCCGACCCATATTTTTTCAACATGACAAACCAAGCCATGAATCAAATTATTTCTCACCAAATATAAAAAAAAAAGATTCCCACACCAATCAGGAACTTGGACCGTGAATCGACCTACTTAGCCTTGATTTCAATTTTTTCTTACAGTGCACGACTGATTTGCTAATGAGTTCTCTATCTTTCTGGAATTATTCCAAACTGAAATTATTATTATTTATGGCTTTTGTTGTCTAATAATCTAATTGGCAGTTCCGCTGGGAGCTAGCCACAGATTACGACATTATCGCGTGTCTGGCAGATCGCGATCAAAGTGCGGCCACGGGGCGTATGAGTAATTTGTTGTCATAGCTAACGTTTGATTGTTGTCATTCGTTTGGCCGCTGACGAGTGGCGGTACTTCTTCGGCTTTACGCGAATTCTGGCTTATCAGTGTATTGGCTATGGTAATGTCACTATCGGAACTTCCCCAGAATCGCGTTCAGTTCTTATCTCAACGATTCGCGTATTCAAAGAAAGCTGCGAACAGATAAGGCGTAACAGGTAGCCGACTATAAAAGGAAAACCTGATCACAAAATGTCCACAATTCGAAATCGAAAGTCGAAAAGCAAACAATATACCCTATATAAAATGAAGCTGCTGATTTTACTTAACGTCGCGCTGTTGATCGTTGCCCAGTGCGAGGCACGCGAACTGGGATCAGGTCGAAAGTTGAGCCGCCAGCTGGACTTGGATGTGGTGCGTCCCGAGTCACGTATTGTCGGTGGCACCGATGCACCTGAGGGCTGGGCGCCCTATCAGGTCTCCATAATGAGCACATTTGGCGAACATGTCTGTGGTGGTAGCATCATAGCCGAGCAATGGATTCTGACAGCTGCCCATTGCCTGGAGTGGCCCATACAGTATCTTAAGATTGTCACCGGCACCAATGATTATACAAAACCGGGTGCAGAGTATCTGGTGGATGCGACCAAGAAGCACTGCCAGCATGATCAGCCTATCTACCACAATGATATTGCGCTTATACACACGGCCACGCCCATTGTCTATAATGTGCGCACACAGCCCATCAAATTGGCGAGCGTGGACAGTTTGAAAGCAGGAGATAAAGTCACACTATCCGGTTGGGGCAGCACCAAAGCCTGGGGCCGATATGTTACCCAGCTGCAAAAGATTGATCTGTCTTATGTGGAGCACTCGAGCTGCAAGTCGAAGGTGCGCAATGCCACCTGGTTGGGCGACGGACACATCTGCAGCTTCACCAAGGAGGGCGAAGGCTCCTGCCATGGCGATTCAGGCGGCCCGCTGATCGATGCGAATCAAACGCTTGTCGGCGTTGTCAATTGGGGTGAGGCCTGCGCGCTGGGCTATCCAGATGTCTATGCCTCGGTGCTATATTATCGCAACTGGATCAGCGAGATGATGACTGAGCAGGGCAAGGCCTGTTAGGAGCTAAAAGGCCCAAAGCGCAGAAGAAACAAAGGCGAATAAAAGCCAAACCGAACAAAAATAATATATACAAAATATATACTGAGACAGCTTTAAAGACTTTAGACCTTAAGTCCAAATATTGTAAATTTTATCGTAAGCACATATATCACAAAAGAATAAAATATTTATGAACAAATTATGAACCTATAAAGCTTACTATCGTTTATTTATCACTTTATTAACTTGTTTTGGACAACGATCAGTCGAAGATCCTTTTTGCCGAAGTTCACCTTACCCAAACTGAACTCTTAGTCATAAAAATTATATCGAAGCGCATGGCTAATTGGCAAATGACTCAAATAATTGTCTATTATTAGCTAAGTCGGCTACCAAAAGCGAGCAGCCGTTGGGTAATTATCGGCTGATAAGCATAGTAAGTATTATACTTTTTATCTAACACCAACTGGGAGCTACTAATGAACAACAACCAAACTAAAAATAATAAAAAAACTTACTTCTAATCAATTAAAACTTATTATGAACATGACAAAACCTGATTAAAATTTATTTAAATTACTTTTAACTATTTAGTTATTTTTATTAATATTAAAACTTAGTTTTGCCCATGCTCAAGAACTCTCAACCTAACCTTAAAATACAATCCTTCTTATGAAATTTATCTAGGGTATAAAAAATTTTCAAATCAGAGCCCAACTGAGCCCAAAATAAGAAGAGTTTAATATTAAGTTTAAATAATAATTTTTTAATTTAAAATTAAGGATTTCGATATCAAAAAAAATGTAGATTTTATTTTTACATTTGATTCTGTCTAAAAAACGATAGATTAAAACATTGAGTCCGAAGTACACGGTTTTACCATATTTTGCATGTGGAGTCTCACTTCGAACCAAGGCGCTGGTTCAAACCGAAACACTCACTATTTTCTTTCGGTTTTAAGATATGATTACAAAAATTAATGCTAAAAAACAATCGAACCCGGAACCCTTAATGTACTAACGTGACTCGGTCTTGGAAAAAAAAAACCAACTAACGCGGTTGGCTCTTTAAACGACAATCTATAGATTATATGTAATCCTATTTCAAGAAAAATTCAAGGGTAAACAATCAAAGTGAGGCTATCTATCATGGACTGGTTGTGTATTCCATTTAAACGCGTGTTCCCAGCGTGAGCACCCACCTTATCTACAGAGACCCTATTTATATGTATATACTGACAACCCATGCCAAATCTAGAGCTTACGCGACGCGCATACCAAGCGGGCACTCCAAGAAGCCATAAAAGTAACACTTCATGGCATGCCACATCCAGTCCACATACAATATGCTGTTGCTGCTGCTGCTGTCCATGTCGCTCCTTGTGGCTCGCGCCGTGCAGCAGGAGGAGCTGCTTTATCCACCCCAATACACCGGCCAGCGCATTGTGGGCGGCGAGGATGCACCCGAGGGTATGGCGCCCTATCAAATATCGTTGCAGGGCGCCAACAGTGGCCAACATTCCTGTGGCGGCGCCATCATTGATGAGCACTGGATACTGACCGCGGCGCACTGCATACACGGCAAGGCGCCCAATGCATTCCGTGTGCTCACCGGCACACAGGATCTGCAGCAGAATGTGTCCAAATACTATTATCCGGACAGAATCATCGAGCACTGTGCCTATGAGCCGCGCAAATACCGGAATGATATTGCGCTCCTGCATCTGAACGAATCGATTGCCTTCGACAATGCCACCCAACCCGTGGAGCTGAGCCATGAGCCGCTGGTGCCGGGTGACTGGCTGCTGCTAACCGGCTGGGGCACGTTGTCACTGGGCGGCGAGGTGCCCGCCAAGCTGCAACGTCTGGAGGTCGAATATGTGCCCTTCGAGCAGTGCCGCGAGGCACACGGCAATAGCAGCCACGTGGATATTGGCCATGTCTGTACCTATAATGACAAGGGGCGGGGCGCATGCCACGGCGACTCCGGCGGCCCCCTGGTGCACAATGGCAAACTAGTGGCGCTGGTCAATTGGGGCATGCCATGTGCCAAAGGCAAGCCCGATGCCAGTGCCAGCATTGCCTACTATCATGACTTTATACGCACCCATCTCAGTCTGCACGAGTCCGAGGCAGCTGCTGCAGGGGAGGAGCAGCCAGTTTGGAGAAGTAAATCCCATTGCAATTGATCAAGGAATACGGGCTCAAGTTATTGACAATCACTTAATATGAGGCTAACTAACAGAATCTCAGTTAAACAACATTTTAAAGTCCTATTAAAGTCCAATTAAAAACTTGAAATCAGAAATTTTGGTTCTTCCAAACGTGTTTTACCAATCCCAAGAATTTGTGAGAGAATTGATTTTAGCTCTTTTCAACCGTGCCGCTTGCCCTAAAGTGAAATCCGGTTAGCTGCCCTTAACTTTGGAGCAAAGCTTTCCAAGCACTTAAATGCCACACACAAAAGGTACGAACGCTCAAGTCGAGTATGCTCGACTATAAGATAAGATAAGATAACCTGGTGAAGTGATTTGCCTCGCCCAATGCATCGATCCAACAAGGCGGGAGCCTTGCTCCAGGACAAACGGTAAAGTAAAGCTGGCCAACTGCTTGCAACAAGAGGTCTAAGCTCAGTGAAGTGAAGTCAACAGAACGCTGCAATGCCGACCTAGCCATAAAACCAAGAGAAAGAAAATAATTTGTAATGGAATTTTCAACGTTTCTTGTGTACACACTCAGGAGCACAGCTACCTTGTCCCACATAGTTGGCACAGGCAGCACAAACGCTAGTAACTTGAAATACCCTTCGATAAAATTACTCCAAATAACTATAATTAGCTACTTTATATGAGATTGTTGCAATAAGAGCACGAAACACAAATCAATTCGCCTTGGTTGTCGATTTAGTACACCTTGCATAATTCGCTCGATGCGCCTGTTTTCTGTTTTTGAGTTTAGTTAATCTTCGACATGCTAAAGCGCCGGAATAAATCTCGATACTGCTCAATAATTTGGCCACTCTTATTGTTGAGCCTGCCATATTCGTGTTTGGCCAAGTGTCTACGTGATCGTGGAGATCAAAACAATGAATATGAGATAGCCGAGCCGGGTACGACGCCCTATCACGTGTCCATAAATCACACCGAGCAGGGACATTTGTGCAGCGGTGTCATCTTTGCCCTACATTGGGTACTTAGCTCCGCGCAATGCGTGCACGAGCTCGATTGGACACAAGCCCGGATAGTTGCGGGCATTCAGGATCTGTTGGATGCGCAGCAAGGAGACATCCATCACATCGACTATGTGGTCATTCATGCCCTTTTCGATCCCATAGCGCGAGTGAACGACATAAGTTTGATACGCAGCAGATTGAAGTTTGAGTACACGGCCCATGTCCGGCCCATCCCAATTGATTGGCAGACGCCGCCAAGAGATGCCATATTGCGGCTAACCGGCTGGCGGTGGCTAAATATACCAAACGAGAATAAGACCCAATTACGTTCCGTTAATTTGAAAGCCATGTCATATAGAGAATGTTTCAAAAGATTTATACTAACGCCCAAAAAACATATAGACGTGGGATATCTGTGCACGCTAATTAACAATTTAAGTGGCAATCGCCTTATCGAAACTGGCAGTCCATTGGTCTATAATGACAAGCTGGTTGGCATATCCAGCATAAGTGCCATCTGCCCTTACCACTGCAGCAATTGCGATCCATTTGTCGCATCCAAAATAGCGTACTTCTACGATTTCATTATCGGCATAACCCGTGGCTGTTCGAATTGTCCTCAGATTGCGGGATATACTGCTGCATACTTTCAAACATATTTTTAAAATTGCCGGAATGTCATGCTATTGGGTGTAAACCCGGTTTCGAATCGAACCGGTTCATTGTTAAAATTGCAACATATATCACTTAAATAAAGTCGAATCTTCAAAAAAAAAAAATAAAAAACAAGAGATTAAGAGAGAGAGAGAGATTATTTAATAATTTTTATTCATTCATTTGCAAATTTTATTAGAAAACAGAATATTTTGCTAGACAAAAACTCTTTTTGATTGATTCTTACTATAGAGAAATATAAAATTAGTGAGATGTTAAAAAGAGTTGGCTTAAATAGAAGACACCTAGAGGAAATAATAATTACAAAATTTGATCAAGATATCTCTGTATAAGCAGCGAACAACCACCTTCTCGTTCCTTTGATAGCTGTATAATATAGCTGATAGATTTTGCATAAATATTCGGTACATACTGAAACTAATAAATTCCGAGTTTGGTCAGTTATCTTAATACAAAAAGGTTAACCATACAAGACCCTCCTTTCGAACGACAGCCCTTCGAAACTGAGAATAGAGTTCGCATAAAAACCGATATACGGTCAGTCGGACATCCTTATATCAACTCCATAAGGTTGATTAGGTCAATCAGATGTGTTTATTTAACATCGGACTTCATTTATTCAAGCTATTTATATTATATTTACAACAGGAATATATCGAGTCACAAAGGTAGTTCAACATTTCGGAAACCAATTGAATAGTAAACAAAAATGTCAATGTCAGGACAAACAGCTCACTTAAAAAGTGAATGGACTAACCAAGGTTTATTCCAAATTGAGTTTGATGAACTTCAAATTCTATTTAAAGCTGAAAGAATAAAATAATCGGTAGATATTTCATTTCAAAAAACTGAAACATAAGATAGCACAAAGTAAAAAGAAATACATCTGCATAATTTGAATACAATTGTTAGCCTTTAATACGAATTGGTTTCAAATAAGCTTACACATCTATAAATTCACTTATTTACAACTCTGTTGTCTAGATAAATGCGAGTTCAACTGGGGGAATGTGACTAACTAACTAAGATTCGCTCCGGTTGAGCAATGAAGATACTTTAGAACTGATTGGAGGGCAGATATTGATTGTTGATTGGGGCATTGACATTGAGATTGCCATTGCCCTCGATGGCCTGTTGCTGTTGCTGCTGCTCCTCTTCCTCCTCCTCGGGTGCGTCCAGAGAGCCCACGACCGAGGTAATTGGCGCCAGACCCTCGTCGGTAATGGTGGAGCTGCCGCCCAGCGCATCGTATTGAGTCTGAATCTGGCGCTGGGCATTGAGTGCCTCCTCGGGCGTGCGGTACTTAATGAAGAACACCTCCGGCTTGTTAATATGCTGTGGCGCCTCGGCAATAGCATCTTGCAGATCGGCGGCCGTTGTCTTCTTGGCCAGCACATACACCACCGTCTTCTCCTGCTTCAGGGTCTTGGCCAGATTGAGCGCAGCGGCGCGGTTCGTTTGAGCGGGCGTCTTCACAAACAGCACGTTGTAGTGATTGCGCGGCTGCTGGTTCAGCTGCTGCAGCTCATCCTGAATCTCATCGTCCGACTCCTCGGGCGCCGTGTGTATGAAGAAGTTCTTGGTGACAATGGGCTTCTTGGGTATGCGAACACGTGGACGCGACCGACGCGTCTGGGTCAGTGGAGCTGTCTGGAAATTGACTGGAAAATTGGCGGGCATGGGAAATGCGGCAGCAATGGGGCGCTGCTGCTGCGGCTGGTATTGGCCAGCGGGCGGCAGATAGGGCAATGGCACGGACAGCGGTGGCAGCACTGGATGGGATGACTGTGACTGCTGCTGCTGTTGCTGCTGCTGCAATTGCTGGTTGAGTAAATGTGCCACAACAGTCGGCTGCTGCTGCTGCTGCTGCTGTCTGTAGTTGTAGCCCTGCTGCGTGAGGCTGATGTCGGCACGGGCTAGCGCCAAAGCGGCCACGAGAATCGTCTACAAAAAAGAAGAGTGTATATATTCCATTTAGATCCCTATAATATCCGTTTAATTGAATCCACACAACGCACCACAAATATCTTCATGCTGTTGCTTAGGCTGGAACTTAGTTAGTTGCGACTCGCTGCGTCTCTCGCTCGCTCTGTGGGTCAAGTGGTTGTGATGATGGGTCAAGCGCTGTCAACCTCTTTTATACGAGCCACGAAGCATGTTAAGTTTACTGCGTGGTCGCCAGCAAGTTTTTCTTTCAATCGGAAACAAATAATGAAACAGCAGACACAGCAGCTGCCCAACAACAATAAAAATAATAATAATAAAAAAATATATGGTTGCAACAGTCAGCATTGCATATGCATAAAGACAGAGCGGGATGGACCGAGGCAGAGTGAACGGGAGGCAACTTATGTGGGGCGTTGAAACACTTTTGTTTTGGGGTGGCAAGTGGCAGTGGGCTTTTTTTGTTACACCTCACAACAGTCTTTTGTTTGGGGCCAACAAATCAACCTGACAATGGCCAAAGCAAAGCTGTTTGTCTGCTTTGCCCTTTAACTTAGCCCAGATTAACATTCGTTTATGTTAATGCAACTGCTTCATATACAAATTTTCAATCAAAACTAATATTATCTGGTTAAACTTTAAAAACTTTTCAGATAAGTTCCAACAGCAACTGTCTTATTGCCGGAATTGCAGCCTAATGATACTTTATTTAAGATATTTGTATTTCAGATTTTAAAGAATTTTTCAATCACACTAAAATAGAAAAATTCTTGTTAAAACAAAAATTAAAAAATAAAAGGTTTCGGTCGAAAAGTTGTGCGCATATTTGTGTGTGTGAGTGTTCAAAATTAAATATATTTAAAAAAAAAATGGAGAGAGAAAAAAACACATTTTTCTTGAAATAAGTGCTTAGTTTACAATATTCTTTATTGAACCCTACAAATCAACTCATTATTCACAAATGAGGATTCAATACATTAGAAAAGCAAAATTAATAACGAAAGTTCTAATAAGAATACAAATAAGTATGTCTAATATGATAACCAACGGGTTGGAGGTTTTTTATATGCCACCAAGCTAGTCCCTAAAGCTAGACTTGTCCGAGACATAATTAGAGTCTGCAGCTGTGGAGGATGCCTATTATTAGTGAAAAAAAATGTCTTATATAAAAATTAAATAATCTTCAGTAAAAAAATTATTTTAGAATACAAAAAAAAATAAAGAGTTAGAAACGAATGTGAATAACTTAGAAAAGAGAAAAAAATGTGTGAAAAAACAAAATTTGCAAATAAGCTATACAATGTCAAATTGATAGGAATAGAAATATATATATATATTATTAAAATATTTTCGTGATTCCCTCAACAATCCTCATATTTTGTGTATATTCAATCCTAAATGCACAAAATATTTTGAATTTTATATTGCTGTAAAGAGTTCATTAGCACAAATTCTTTCTCCATTTTAGGCTTGCTCGTATTCACACTCGTATTTGCTTCTTAGGAAAAAAAAATTATTTTTCTAATATCTATATTTTTTATATTTCTAACAGAAAAGTGTGTCGAAAATTAAATAAACTAAAAAACTAGCCCCATTATCACACACTCAATCAAGCAAATTCTTGCAAGCTTTTATTAATTTAATTTAATTATGTCAAAAAAAATACAAATAAAATTGCTTATCAACATCTGAAAAGAAAAAGTGTTAAATATATAATAATAAAAAAACTTCGCAATTTGTTGGGCTCTCTAAAAATGTTGCACTCAAATTGAATGTCTCAGCCGATTGTTATGCAAATATCGATTGTCAGAGACGAGGTTACAATCGATTACAATCGCTTTGGCTATGCTGCATTGTGTGACTGTACTTTATTGACAACCAACTGAACTATAAAATGCAAATTCGAATGCAAATGGATTTGGAAATGGAAATGGGAATAAGCTGGAGACAGGCAGTTGCCCGATTTTGCGGGCTGTCAAGAGTGCGCCAAGGTCTAGATATTTATTGTGTGCGTTCAGTGTAAATATTATGCGATACATTTATACAAATATACTCAAATATATTTATTTTGTTCACTCTAAATGCGCCAAATTGATACAAAATATATGTGTAGATATAAAAAATTAAAACGCAGCCATTTGTTAGTTACGATGCGACACAAAAGTGAAGGTAATTTGAAAGCTCTGCTTTTCATGCGATTTGATTATCGAATTTAGTTTAGGGCTAAGCTCTGACAACGGAAATGAGTTGTCATAACAAACATATCCAAATTTTAAATAGCGGCCAGACTGATATTAACTAAGTTAATTGGCCTGACTGTTAACATGAAGATGCCATGCAGTTGAGGTAAATGTTATGCGCCCACAAATTAAAATGTAAGCCAATTATAAAAGTGTATACTTAAATATCCCACGCTGCACTCTTAACAAATGTTTCCACAGTACTAAACCAAGCATTAAATGGGCCAGCTTATGCAAGAATCAAATGCAGTTCAAATTTATGGAGAGTAACCTTCAACCTTCACGGATCTCGAGCTATCAAAACAGGTTTCACACTTTCTCACGGCGTTTGCCATGAGGCATGACCCAAAGCAAAGTGGGGAATTCAAAGGGTATTTCGTACACTCCATTTATAATAAATATGCAAAAATATATATTTGACTAAATAGATATTTTATTTAAAAACAATCTCGGATCAACTTCCGCTCGTAATGGGAAACCGAAGGGCTAGCATTCATTTAATGTAAAACATACACATTTCGCAAATCCTAAATCAAAAGTTGAGCTTATCTAAACTAAATGTAGTCTAAAATAAAATGTTGATAAAAAAAAAAGTGAATGCAGACGCGGCATAAATTTGCATTTTCGTAACAAACTGTTTTTTCTTTTTTTTTTTTTTTGTTATATTTTAATTTATTAATTTATTGTTTAGCTAATGTTTCACACTGTTCAAATTTTGACATTGGCCTTTGTCTGCTGTGGTAATACGCGTATGTGGATTATACGCATACGCATAGCAATTTGTCCAACTAGAGTCCCGGGTTAGAAATTTGATTAGGTGCTTGAATGACTAATGCACATTTGATTATTGGCCTAAAAATGTTTGCCGATTAATTATAGTGTTTACTCTGCATTGACAAATTACACAAAATGCCTAAAACCCCAGCCAAAACGATGTCTTCAAAAAAATTGACCAGAAACATTAAAGCCCGAACGAGTCAAATTTGGGCTTGTCTTAAGAGGAGGCATCGAAAAATTAATGAATGAATTCGAATTGATTTCATAGCCAAAAACATACCAAATATATGCATACATAAACATCTTTCGATTAATTCATATGCATTTAAAATCATTCGAGTTAATCAGAGTTAGACCCAGCTAAAAATAAGCTATGCCCAATTAAAAGCAAAAAACGTCAGCTTAAATATGTTTGCTTTCCTTTCGCTTGTTATTTATGGTTTCAGGTTTTTATTTGCTTAACAACAGCCATGCAATAATGTTTAAAATAAAATAGTCGAACAACTTACTAAGTATATTCTTACAGCTTATTATGACCTAAAAAAAGTTTATAAAATAATTCAGTTTTGATAAAGTTCTGCCTGGAAAAGTTACCATTTTATAAGTCAATATTTCATATATTCATATTTTTAAAATCTATAAAATCTGAAATTTGGATAATGGGTTAAATATTATTTATTATCATTTAATAACGTTTATTTGTGATGTAATAAGAAAAAATGACAATTTAGGATGAGCGTTTACAAGGTGAGAGAACACTTAATTTTTTTATTTTATTTTTATTATCATTTATTGTGGAGAACTTTTTATTAGACATTTTCTTAAGATTGCATTTTTCACAAAATAGCGATATTTAATATGACAAATATAGATGTAGAATATATCTATAAATAAAGCCACAAGCACAAAAGTATCAGGCATGAGTTCAGTTTGACGCCATTTCAATAGTTTTAAATGTTTAAATGTATATATACATAACCGATATTTTGCGCTTCCTAGCAGCAACAAGAATTTATAGAAATCCACAAAATACAACAAACGGTTGCATACTTTTAGGTCGTTCGTTTTATGTGGCGCCACCTATAGTTCAAGTAATTGCTTGACCAATTCATGGCCTCTTCCAATCAGCTGTGAGTTATTCATGTTTATTAGAGTATAGCTCAGAGCTCTAGTTTTCTATGGATTTAAATTAATAATAAATTAAAATCATACTTAAACGTATTTTTAGACAAAAGCTTAAAGCATGCAGTTGATAAATACAACAAACCTATACTAAAGCCAATTAGCATAAAAAATCTAATTTCATCAGACACATCGACTAACCTATGGAACAATAAATAAAACCTCGCCAAATAGTGAACCACAATCAAGAAGGAATCAACATTATAAACAAATCAAGCTGCATTGCTGGTATAAATACCCTATAAAGTACAGTATAGAATTTTAATAACTGTCCATTAATGTTATCATCGGGTTTGGTTGGTCAGTTGACGTTCAGTCTAATGCTTATCAGTGATTTTCTGTATTATATTTAGTCACACACTAACCAAAGCAGGTGATATTTTTTTTTTGAACGTAATTATGGCTAGCTGTACTAAATCCATAAAATTGACCAACCCGTGCGACATTCAAAGAATCAGAATGACCAATAATTATAAACGTGGCAAAGATAGTATATGTATATGCCGAATCGCGTGGCTCACCGGCTATATTTAGATATATTATTGGGTATTTATATTGCGACTAATAAAGCCAAAAACCACCATTTTGAACTCTGTAAGGTCCGCAAATTTGAACTTTAAACGAGCGGCACTCTTTCAAGTTGCGCATACGCAGCGTTGGCCAAAGAAAAAATGATAATACGCTGAAGTGCTTATAAAACTGTTCTTTTATTAAATAGATTAACGTAGTTTAAATTGCTAGTGTTCAAGGCACATGCTTTGAGTGTCACATAAATTGACTAGTTGCATTTCATGTTGTGTTTTTATTTGAATTTCAAGCAGAGCTTCGAACCCTGTCGTCAAATAATGAGTATAAATTGTCTGGTATGTCATTGCTCTCTGGTTAAAATCTTTGGTGTATCTCTATGGCTGCAGCTGCTGCTACTGCTGCTGCTGCTGCATGGCCAAATTACAGCTGAAATTTGTGCACAGCCAGGCCCAGCAGCAGGGTCAGACCCATGCCCAGCGTGGACAGCTGATCAGCGGAGCTGCGCTCCTGCTGGACCACAAGGACCACAGCTCGATTATTCTCGCTTTGCAGTTCGCGATAATTGTTGTGCAGCTGCTTGTCCTTTTCGTACTCAATCTCCTTGAACTGATTCACCTGGTCGAGTGTGACCGGAAATGTGTTCGTCAGCACTATCCAAGTTACGGCCTCTGCACAGGTGGGCGTGGTCAGTGAGCCGGCATACGTGAAATAGGTATCCACGCTGGGCACCAAATCGTCCACGGCCAAACTGTCCTCGATATGTGCAGGAATATTAATGCGCTCATAGCTCTTCACGCTGTCCAAGCTCTTGATGATGCTGTCAATGGCCTCATTGGGCGTGTTGGAGACGTGATAGAGCACGCCCAGCACCGTAATGCCATCCTTAAAGTTGGCTGCCATGCTCATGTTCGGATAGATCTTATTCCTATGCACAATGTGCACCTCGAGGGGATAGCGTATGTCATTGATAGTGTGCTCCGACCACCAGTGCATGTGTATCTGCTCCACAACATAATCGCTGACCAGGCCGCCACCGCTGAGGGTCAGATCATGCGCAAAGCCGGAGAGTTGAACTGAAAAGAAAGCGTTAAGTTCAATTTATTTGTATATAAATTATAGAGAGTACAGTGCCAACTCACTTGAGTGCCCGTTGTTGACCATTTGCAGTGAGCCCTGTTCCTCATCGAAGTTTTCAAATTTAAGTGCACTGAATTCGCCTTTCAGTGCGCCCTTGACATGCAGGTTGATGGGACTCTGCTTCTTGCCATTATCACAAAGGCCGCCCCACTTGGGAAATGCTAAAAATACGAAATAGAAAATTATTCGATTATTATTAAGGAGTATGCATAATTATGTTAAAATTAAATGAAATGTTTAATAATGTCACGAAATAAGTAACGCACTACGACCTCACTAAGTATTTTATATATATATAGGTGATCAGATGGACGAGCTGAGTCAATCCAACCATGTCCGTCTATCCGTCTGATCTCGGAAACTACAAAGGCTAGACACTTGCAATTCGAACTATATATTCTTTTATACTATAAGTTTATCATTTCCTTTCAATATCTTCTCTTATTCTCTCATAATAGCTATACGCATCCAACTTAGTTTATGGGTTCTCGTATAGTATACATTTGTACTATTTTTTTGATATTTTTATGATGCTAATAAACATCGACAAACATCACAAATCGAGGATTATAATAGCTAAATACATCAAACTTTTGTATGTACGCTCTTCTATAGTATACACTGATTAATACTCGATATCTTCTCTCATTTTCATTTGTTATATAGATTCTCATATAGCTTACACAGGTGGGAAAATATTTATTTTTTGATAACTGCGCCTCTTCCTACCAAAAATTCGAAGAAGTAGACAATATGCTGTTAGCATCGATAAACTAAACAATAATTTACTAGCTTTATTTAAATATATAATATAGCTGCCTAAGGGTATTAAAGCTGCGGCTATACGCAGTCAAATGTTTCCGTTTCTTGCTTTAAGTTTGTCTACTTTGTCGAGTCAGATATGATGTGCACGGCAATTTGGCACAATTTAAATAAACGGCATTTATAGAGCTATCAAAACTTGGATGCGTTGCGGGCACTGGAATGGGAACACTTGACAATGATCAGTTGACCCACTCTAGCCTATAACTAGCGTTGATTAACTAATTTGGACTTTAACAAGAGTGCAGAGATGAAAATGAATTTAAATACATTTATGTTTTGATTGGCTCCACTTACCCTCATCCTGATTGTTGTCCAGATCCGGGTAGCCCCATTCGCTGGCAGCGCTGAGCGCTAAAAGGCAGCAGGCTGCAAGCAAATAAATGAAGCAAAAAAATGCGCTTAAATATTAAGTATACGCAGTGTTCGCATTAAGTATACGCAGCAAGTTTAATGCACCCATTACGTTAGCATTGTGTTTATATTTATGGGTACACTTCAACTTGACCGACATCAAAAAATTGGTGTAGAACGCGTTTTCCGGCCATGAAAATGGCACAAAATGTGCAATCGACGAAATGCCATGTGCCATAAAAGACACGAACAACAACAAAAAAAAAAAAAACAGACACACAAAGAAGGGCCGTTGGGGCGAACGGGTCTGATGTCTATAAAGACTACATAATGTCGTATTCGGCGTCTGTTTTGGCAACGTCAACAGCCTCAGCACCTTGCACTTGACTCGGCTAAAAATAGGCCACAAATTTATGATCGCGCAGAGTAACAGCTGTAGAGCAACATACTATATGCAGAGCTTGACAGTAGTATAAGATTTTAATCACATTTCACATGCTTGCATAACATAAAAAACATGAAACATTATTTTAATTGTTTTATTTCAAATTACACTGCAAATCCCACGAACTTTTTTGGTGGAGGTTCGACTTTGCACGTTAGAAGTCCAAAGTCAAAGGTTATAAGAAGATTTTCTTTAAATTTGCAATGGAATATTTAATAAAAAAAAAAAAAATCATTAAATTAATTATTTTAAGGTATTTATGTTTACATTATTCAAAAGAGAGAGCGCTTAGGTCATGTCTCCGACCACATAATGTGTATATATTCTTGTACAACATCAATAGCCGAGTCGATCTACGTTCGTCTGTCTATCTGTTCGTCTGTCAGCATGTATGCGTCGATCCCAGTATCTATAAGGCTTAAACTAGGTCCTCTTATTACCTATAAGAGCTAGAGGCTCTTAGTTCCTCCTAGAAAGTCCCTTCGAAAAATGATAACTTGCCCCGTTTGCAAGCAATCGATAAGTCTCGATATCGAAATTCAGTATTTTGAATGGCTTAGTTTTTAAGATCTAGAGTCACCAAATTCGAAATGTAGCTTTTAGAATATCTTCGCATATTCCCCTAGCTACTAGCTATAATTCGAATGATTACATCAAGTTAAGCCACAGTAGAAATGCTATTGTCTTTTGAGAGAAAACAAACATCTACTGCAGAAGCTGTAAGGCCTTAATTGTGGAGAGCCCTGTGACAGGCACAATTTCAAGTCACCATTATTAATTATTTATTTTATTATTATAATAAATAAACATTAAAAAAATAACGAAAAATTTGCTGCCCATAAACAAATGTTTAACGAATAGTATGAAAAATTTAATTGCATTTTTATTGCTTGCAGCACGTAAGAATTCTGTTTTATTTTTAACTTTAATTTCATTTTTTTTGTTAAAAGCATTTTATCAAAATATCAACCAAATACATGTGTGCGAAAATCTCTTTAATGTTTTCTTTTAAGTTCGATTTTTTTTATTTAAATATATTTGCTCCTGTCAGATCTAACGAGCCATTTGCAGTGACCCATTGGCATAACTCTCTGCGTGTTTATATTGCCATTAATGGGTTAATAAAAAGCTCGTAAAAACGGCAAATGAAGTGCCACAAATTGCAAATAGCTGACAGAAAGCAAAGAAAAGAAAAGCTGCTAATTTACTGTTTGCCAAATCTTTCAAAAATTTATGCTGCCATTTGACATTAACAAAAAATAATATATATATATATATGTATAATATATATCGTTTTCCAAATGACGACAGCAGCTGTGAGAAATGTTTCTGGATTTATGTCTTTTGACTAATGTGCGATATTTTCATTTTACAAACAACAAGAAAAACTGCGCCCGGAACGTGCCCAACAGCTGATTCAAAGCATTTCAATTGGAAATTCAATACATTGTACGCATGCTTGTTCATATTTTGTGCACATGTTTAATGTGATTTGCATGTTTTCATTGTGGAAAAAAACTAATTATATCTTTTAAGACAAATGATTCCATTTGACAGACAAGCATATAAATACAAAATCTTTTCTTTATGGGCACTTGGCTAAACAAAAAAAAAGAAAGGAAACAATCAATTTGATAAGCACTGCTTTCTAATTTGTACTTAACATATTTTTTATATTTATGGCATTTTAAACTGCTTTTGGGGCTCAAAGTTCCAATTAAAGAATTGATGTTGTCTAGCGGATTCTATATATATATTCTACGAATGTTGTTCCGAATGTCAGATTAGTCTACATTTTATTATCACCTTGATAAGACTTGGTTTCTTTGATTTATAACATTTGAGATTAACACAAAGCATTTACGAATTTTAAAATGTTTCTTTATTTTAAGAATTTAACAGTTTTTCTTTGGCTTAAGAGCCCATCGGAAGTGCCTATGTCAGGTGGATCTACCTAAAGGTAGCTATATTTATAGAGTATTTTTTTGAGTTAAGACATTCCTTAGGAGTAGAATTCTTTAACCAAAAACAATGTCTTCTATTAAGGTTTTTATATCTAGTAGATACTCAGCCATTTTTGAATAGCCCTCATTCCTTTCGTTTGTCCTACTCTAATCATTTCCGCTGCTGATAATGTTAGACACCTGCCCGCAATTACAATTATTCAAAAGATAACAAACTGAAGAGCCTCAAAGCATAAATATAGATTAAGTTTATGACTCAATTAATAGACAAATTGTGGACTTTACCAAAGAGCAGCTACCTAACTATTTCCATATCCCACAATTCGACAACAATTTTCAAGTGTGCTTCGAGTAGAAAGTTTTCAAATATTAATTACTACAAAAATTATCAAAATTATCGACTGTACACGTGTAGTTTTAAATGATATACGATAGTTGTTTGCATTTAGATGGCAAATAGAAACTGATATAGTTAATGACAGCAGCCGCATGCAACATGGGGGCAAATTCTAATTGGAATTCGCATGCAACGAAATACAATTAAAAAACTTCGCTAGCTGTTAAAAAGGGGCTGCAATTCGTTTTGAGGGGGCGCGGCGGAACTTTAACAATTATCCGGAGTGTTGAACAAAACTGCCAACAAAACGATAATTGCATTTCGGATGCCAAAACAATGTGAAAAATTGCACAAAACATATAAGAGGGAGGGAGAGGGAGGGAGAGGGAGGGAGAGGGAGAGCGAGAGAGACATGCGAAAAATGCAACCGATTTTATAGACTTACGATACCCTGTAGCCTTTGAAACAGGGAAAAGGGAAAGGAGAGGGAAACATGCGAAATGTTCAAGAGATTTGATAGAATAATTATACCCTACCGTATTAAGGGGTAAGAGGAAAGAAGAGGGAGACTTTGCATATTTTTGTACGCTTTACTTAATATAAATGTGCAAGAAAGGGTATATCGGTTTTAAGCAAATGTATGTAACAGGCAGAACAAATCATGCCGAATCGAACTAGCCATGTCCGTCCCTCCGTTTGTCCCTCTGAATCTCTGCGAGGATGCTTGGATATCATAGACTAGATATACCGATAATATTTATACAAAAATCTTGTTTCTTGAGCATAGTTCGTATATTTTTCACGCTAGAGATACCAAAATTGGCTTCTAATCATTTTGCTTTTGGGAAACGCTAACCAATCCCAAAGGTTTTTTTTTCTTAGTGTGCAGCATGGGTACGGAGTATCTCGCGGTTGGGCACTCTCTACTCGAGCAGTTGTACCTGTTTTAGTTGAACGTTTTAAGTGTTTCGCTCTTGGCACAAAAATGCTAAGCTCTGGCTACCAGCTGCTTTGTCTCAGTTGTCAGTGAGAGATGCACATGTCAAAGCCAGCAACAGCGACAGCAACTATAACAACAACTTTGACAACAACAATAACAATCGCTTTGCTGGACCTGGCGGAACGGAAATATGCGGCATGTTCAATTTCTCAGTTTCGCATCGGTTTCTCATGAACGTTGTCAAGTGGCATTTTGGCTCTGTTGTTTAGTTGTTTATGGCAGACGCGTTATTTTTTGGCCATGTCAGCTGAAAATAATTGGAAGACTTTTGCATTCATTGCGATAACTTTTTGGAGGCCTTTTTTTCGCCAACTCACTGCGCCGCCAGCCAGACACCCCCTAAAAGAAATGTGGGGCAATTCTTCTTTGGTGATTTTCCATATTGTAATTTATTTACATTTTATATTATCCACTATAATCAAAGTCGTTCGCTGATAAACGATTTCGGGAGTGCGCTCGGTTTTATGTGATTATCACTCAACGCGCCTGATAACGCCAATATATACAGCCATTATCGTACAGTCTGGCTCATGAGAATAGGGACAGTTTGATCCAATATTGTGATAAGCATTCATGAAAATTAAATAGACAACCTTTGCTTTTTTCATTATAAAACATGACATTTAAGATGTAGGATAGGCAACAACCGTTTGGACATTTGGAATTTGGTCTGGACTGATTACAAACCGATAATTATTATTATTATTTTTTTTTAATTTAAAACTTGCAATTAAAAATGTAGATGGACAACGGAATTGGTCTAGACTCTAGACTGATCAAAGGCAGATATATTTTGTGACTAACATCAACATTATTATTGTTATATAATATATAACTCTTTAATAACATTGGCAGCTAAAACTACATCCAAACACTAGCCTTGGATTCGAACCAGCAACTGCACTTTAAAGTTGCCAACTCATCTCGTAAGAGCTTTGTGTTAAAGCTGATATTAAAAGTGGTCAGAACGAATGTTAGAGTTTTGTCATGAAATGTGCAACACATGGAAGATCAGCATCATCATCATAAGAACTAGAACTCTCAGTCAAGATAGCTTTCTTATAACTTTGCATAGTTGCGTCTTTCTCTTACAGTACAGTACATATGTCGGATCGAGCAACTATAGCATATTGCTGTCATAGGAACAATCAGTCGAAAATTAAGTTCTTGCTTGTAAAAATTTATTGTTTCTCAAGAAATCTTTTCCAATAGAGTTTTAAATGTGTGCAAAACCGTATGGAAATGTCTACAAAGCCATAAAACCATCGGCATGTTGAAGATATCCTTAATTGTTCGTTAATATAAATGTTTAAATTTTAATTTAACTTTGCAGACTTACTTAATATTCTAAATAGAGCATCATTTACAACAAATATGTTTTGCACATAAATCAATTTAGGCATTTGTATACTTCAGACCATATTCAATTGCCTAGGCACTGTGGCCAACTGAGGAAAACGTCACCGAATTTCAATTAACAGAGCTGATTGTACAAATTGATGCGAATATTGGTTTATTTTGGCTTTTATGAATGACTTTGTTAGACTTTAGTGCCAGGTTTTATAACTGATCGATGGCACTTTCAAAACTTTCCATCAGCATGATGGAGCTGGGTAGCTCTCACCCATATCAAAGAATTAAAATGCAATTAAATGTTATAAACAAACAAAGCTGATAAGCGCAAATCAGCGCAGAACATAAGTGGTACATTCTTTGCAACTGATTGCGGATTATCTTACTTATATTTGAGCATATGTAAAACGGAAGCCCTTGCTGATAGTTCAACTCGCTGTGCTCTGTGCTCTGTGCTCTTTGTGGGTGCAGGGGTCAGATCAATTGTGATATATTTCACACGGTTTGTTGACTTTGCCATGAAAGAAGACAGCAACAAACGCGTTTTCAGCACGCGAAAACACGCTCTAATCGTAAACTGATAATTTGCAAGCACGCTTTGGGCGATTTTGAAGTAAAGCTGTCAAACTTGAGTTATCTGAGGAAGCCTCTTGAAAAACTCATTATATTGAAGAACAAACAAAGGAAAAACAGCCTGGTTCACTCACAATTATCTAAGCTAAAATAATCAATTGACGCAGAGCTCCAAAACTGGCGCCGCGGTTGTGTAATCATTTCAAGGCATATGACACGGGTGCATATAATTGGCCCATATATCTTTTGCCAAAATCTCTGCTAATCTATAATACGAAAAGCCCAGAAGCCAGCCCAAACGCGTGTTATCGTGACGTGCCTTGTTATTAAGTTTTATTGTCGCAAATCGAATCTCTCAGACGAGCGCGACTATAAAAGTTTATGCTTATAATTCCAAAATAATTATTTAATATGTGCTTATGCCCTGGTCGCGCTTATCAAAGTGCTTTTTTAGTGCATATCAGCGATTAGTGAAATTTGATCGAAGCTAAACAAAATTGTTTTATAACTCATTTCGCTTTAAGGGGCTAAGCGAGGGAAGTGCTTGAGAACGGATTGTAAACTGTTCAAGAACTTATCGACAATTAATCGAGGCTGAGGGCTGATCGAGCACTTACTGAGAAATTATCGAGAAATTATCGATAGCCACTCGATAACTGTGCATGAACTGATCGATGGCCGTTCGAGAACTAATCGAAGCGGAGAGGCAATCGATCACTTATTGAAAACTTATAGAGAACTTGTCGATTATTGTTCAAGAACTTATCGAGAGCTGAACAAATGTAGGTCGAGAATTTATTGAGCACTTATCAGGAATTGTTTGATTAATATTAAATATCTAATTACCGAACGAGAACTAATCATGAGCTCACCAAGAACTGATCGATATGTGATCGAAAACTGCTCGAGAAATAATCGAGTACTGCTTCCAACCGAATCGGTAAATGATCAAAAAATAATCATGAACTAGTTGAGCACTGATTGAGATCTAATCAAGAACTAATAGAGATTTTTTAGAGAACTAATTCAGATCCGATCAAGAACAAATCAAGAGCTGTTTGAGAACTGTTTGAGAACTGATCGAGAACTATTCAATAACTTATCGAGAATAGGCCGAGAACCGCTTGAGATCTGATCGAGCATCCGCCTGTTGACGTTAACATTTTTACGAGCATTGAGTTCAACACATATTTAACTGTAGTGACCCTATCAACAAATGGTCAGTCGTAGGGCGCGGCTATTTGCCAGATTTAACTGGCGCCGTTCAGTCAAGGCTTCGTATTATCGGGCTTTTGCTGCGGCGGCTCAAAAGTTAGCCAGTTGATGATAAATTTCTTTCATATTGCCAAATAGATAATTGTTTACCTATCTTAACTCTACGTGACGCATGATATCGGAGTGTGCTTTGAAGTACTTCAGAAGTTGAGTGAGTCGACAGTTTTATCTGATTTTTGACAGACTTCGGTTATGTGTTTTGTTTTTTTAATTAGCCATGGAACTAAAGAAAACAGAAATCCCCAGATTTTCTAGAGGCTCCGATGGCATAAGTAACTGAACCACTCTGAAATTGGGCCAAAAAAAAATTATGATTTTCTTCATATCATTTCTATATTTAACTACAGAAACTGCTGTGTAATTTATTAACGCAATGAACTTTCACAGCAAAATGATCGTTGTCGAGCATTTCCTACACACTCTTAACAATTGTAAAGATCGTTAGAATTAAAAGTATTATAAATGTTTTTCGTTGAATGTGAATTATCAGCGTGGGATCTAGCAAAGTGTTTCCCGTCGAAAGTTTTGGGGCTACGGCCAATTGAATTATAAACAGGCTATACAAAAACCAAAACCGAAACGTGACTATTCGCATTTTTGATAATGGAAAACTTTGTGTAACAAATCCCAAGAATGTCTCTGTGTAAACACATAAGCACAAGTAATTACACTCGTTTCTTTCAACGTGTCTTTCAATTTTGGCAATCGCTACAATAGAATTTCAGGTAGGCTTAGAGCTAGTGAGTCAGAGCTTTAGTTTTTTTTTAACACGCTAAACACGAATTTGCTTAGATTTAATTTTAAAAATTTACCTATTACGGCAAGAAAATGCATCTCTTAACTTTTGCAAACGATTATTTAATATTTAATATTAACTCGAATTATTTGAACACACTCAATTCTGGCACTTTATTTTTGTTTCTTTGAAGACCGACTGGTAAGGACTCGGAACCCTTGCAAGCTCAATGACAACTCCATAAAACTGAAATGGAATCGCCGTCTTTTATAACCAAACCGAGGCGAACCGATACGAAGAACAGAACCCGCAGCCCACAGCACAGAATGATTACTGAATGCCGTACGAGCATCGCACGAATAAGTGCGCACACACACACACACAGTCGTACTTAAATGCACGCGGAGAGACGGTAAGAATTGAATTGAATTTATGGCATTGGCACACAGGTTGGTTTTTTTTTTGGGGTTTTATGCTCTTGCTCTCTCTCTCTCTCTCTCTCTCTCTTTCCTTTGCCCTCTCTGTCTTACAAGCCAAATGACAACAAAATGGAGCTGATTAAACGAATGCAACAACTACAGCGGCAGCAGCAGCAGCAGCAGCAATAACAACCGGTACAAGCGAGCCGAAGCTAGCCGAGCGAATTGCAATGTAGCCGAACGCTAAACGCTTGCGTCGACGTCGCTGCTCACGCCGCTGCTTAGAAGCTGGCACAGCAGGCGGTTAATTGATAAGCAAGCGAGAAATGCCAAATCAGCGATAAATAGCCGTAGTAAAAGGTAGTAGAAACTGGCAGCTGTTACAGAGCAAGCGAGAGAGCGAAATAAGAGCAGCTGCACATATGACGCGTGCCCAGGCAGCGCAGCGGCAGCGACGCCGGAAGTGACGTTGCGGCGCTTGTGAATCGAATATTTGATTAAATTTTGTAAGAGCCTTAAATAAATCTAAATTAATATTATAAGTGCACAATGGCGGAGGGGAAAAAAGTTCAAAGGCGATTTATTAATTAAAATTTTGTGATTAATTAATAAGGGGTCAAGCGGCAGACGTCTTCATACAGCTTTCTGCTGATCCCAATTGTGGCCAGCGCACGTTAATTAAAGAGACAAATTTCGACATGCGGCTTGTCTGTGTGTGTGTGTGTGTGTGTGCGTGTCACGCTGTCGACGTCGCGTCGTTAAAGTGCAGTTAATACACACAAAAGTCAATGTCAAAATGCTGCCGATTTGTTTTTGCTGCTGTCGACAGGCTAATGAGCAGCAGCGTGCATGTATGCATCTGTGTGCGCTTGACTGTGTGTGTGTGTGTGTGTGTGTAGATTAGCTGCCTGCACCTGTGCATGAGTGTAAATCAAAATGCATTTCCGCTACAAATTGCCGGTCACGCTGGCCCGCAATTTGCGACTATCAAAATGTGAATCTTGATACTCTGTACATGCGCCAGCATGTGTGTGTGTGTGTGTGTAGGCACCGACAAACACACACGCACACATATACACACACACACACGTGCATATGCATATCCATGTAATTATTTATAAAGTAACGTTTTTACAGATGCTGAGTGTATTATATTAAAATATTTTTAAACAAAAATTGAACTTTAATGGTAAAATTTGTTTAATCATTTTTGTATATTTAATTTATATTTTTATAGCATATTTATTAACTATACAATATTTACAACAAACAGAATTAATATTAAATACTTTTGAAAAATATATTAAAATATATGTATATATGCAGCCGAAATGTTGAATGTCTATTTGTGGTTGTAAAAATCGACCTATTTTGAATTTATGCATTAATTGCATGCTTGTAAATTATAGTTTTTAATTACAATTAAATGGCCTTCGAAAGGCGCATAGCCATTGCGAGTCGGAATTTTCTCTTTCCAAATAAAACGCAACACCTCCCATTTATCAGCTATTTAACATCAAGGTACATTTATTAAGTGTGTGTGCATTTCAAAAACAATAACAATAACAAGTTAAACAAACGGAAAAACAAACGTTCATTGATGGAAAAGCCAGCTGATCGGCACGTCACGCGACTTTTCCCAAGCTGAGCATAAAATCATGCGACACACAACTGACCCCAATAACAATTACAATTGCATTAAGCGGCAAAGGTCTGCAAATAAAAAAATAAAAAAACATTGCAAAGAGGCGTCCGTAAAAGTGTGACTCGGTCGCCATTTGATAAGTTAAGCAAATTGAAATCAAATCAAATTCAATTAAGTAGCGAGCCGCATTTGATTTGTACTAATTGTTTCGCTTGAATGAGCAAACAACTCAATTAAATTGTAAGCATTTATTTTTCCAAACAATGGTCTCCAAAAATTCAAATTTGAAATCCATATTGCTTTCGCGCCACAATGCAGCTCTGAGTAGTTTGCAGCCCTTGTAGATATCGAAATTGTAATAAGAAAATCAAACAGTTGGCAACGCCCAGTTGCTTGTCAGTTTACAGCGTTGCCCCACCGTGCGCCATATGTCACATATGTTTTTCGAGTGTGTTTTGAAGCAAACATCGGGTTATTTTACAAAAAGTATTTATCCAAATAATATTATTGAATTTTTGTGTTTCAAGCATTTAAAGAGCCAAGCGAACACAGCTAAATTTGTAAAAGATTGTTACGAACGCGAGACAATTGCATCGAGTTGGCAGCATTGCCGAATGCTGAGCTGCGAAGCAGTGTCCAAAAGCAAAGCGAAGAGAACGTAGCGCAGCCGAAAAAAATTTGGAAGCAGTAAAGCAGCGCACTGCACGCGATATATTTTTTATTTTCAAAAGGTTGAAGCTTATATTAAACAATTCAGCGGATCAACGTGCCGGGCAGCCGTAAGTGCATTTACTTTTCAAACATTCAACGTAATTATACAGCCGCGTAGTTCGCCTTAAGAATTTTTTTTTGCAAGAAGCGAAAATTTTTGCACAGCGGCAAAGGCGGCAGCAGCCGCGACTGCGGCGAATTTGTGCAGCAAAAGGGAGCTGAAAATGATGAAAAATTATAAAAAAAAGCGCACGCATTGTGGAATAGTTGAGAATGAGAATTACGTTAAATAATTATATTCCCAAAAAATTGACGGAAGTTATAAAAAATTATGACTAAAATTTGATACATTTGCATGTATGTATGAAAAATCGGCATGTGCTGGCGTATTAGTGTGTGTGCATGAAATTCTTATTGGAAAAGCGTGCTCAGCATTTCGGCGGCTGCTGACAGTTGTATATATATATATATATATATGTGTGTGTGTATGTGTTTGTGTGTGTGCGTGTGAGAGCTGAGAAGTGATGTGAAGACACAAAAGAAAGACGACGGCGCCGCGGCGCTGGCTATAAAATGAAGAAGAAGCAACAGCAGCGCTGCCCCGGCAAAAGCGCGTTGACGTTTCTCGCTGCATTTGTTGTTGTTGCTCATGGTATTTTGCTACCGTTCTCAGCCAGAAAGGAATTTCCTATGCTGGGCCCAAAATAACTTCAAAACTTTTGATTGCCATCGCGCGGCTGTTGCCGCTGCCCGTTCGCCATTCGCTGCCATCCTCATTGGTCAGCACCGCTACGCCGTTAATTTGCTTGTCAATATAGAAAATTCATAAATTCGCCTTTAACTGTATCTATTTATTATTGTTATTGCTCTTGTTTATTTTCACAGGAACTGCGAGAGTTGAGCGTACGCGTATGTGTGTGTGGGTGCAGCAGCAAGCATAACCACCACAAAAGCAACAACAACATCAAAGCCAAAAGACTGATAACAAAGCAACAGCAGGGAATAACAAAGATTTGAAGCAGCAACGCGTAACTTTGTCGTTGTGTAGGTGTTGCCTTGTTAATTAATGTTCTCTTAATCTAATTTCAGTTCTTCTTCTCTTATTAAAGGCTAACACACAAATAACGTCGGCTTTACTGCGACGACTGGTGGGGGGCGTCTAACTGACAGCAACTTCTGTACTATCAATTAAAATAACAACAACAACAACAGCAACTAGCAGCACAAGAGAATTACACCGTGGACACCGGCGAACACAGGGCTAACAAAATGGACGATCTTATGGTCGAAGTGCGACTCGATAACGGTGCCTACTATAAGGTAAGGGAGAGTGGGAGAGAAAGAGAGAGAGTTGTCCTAAGCTGAAGTCGCCAGTATCGCTGCCGCAGTCGCTGCCGGCGTCGTTGAGTACGCGACGCTGCAACTTGTGGCGACGGCAGCGATGGTCTCAGTTTCTAATTTCGTAAATTTTAGCTTTATTTCTATAAATAACTGCATCATTTTGTTGAGTGGAGTCTCGCATCGAAATACGCACACACAAAACACGCACGCACACACACAACGACACACACACGTGCATAGAAATCAACACGCATTCATATAGGGCGCAGTTTGTCGCTGCCCGTATGGGGGTGTGCGTACGCGTGTGTGTGTGTGTGTGTGTGTGCATGTGTGTGTATTGCCGCCTGCGCGAGCGACGCTGCATATTCGCGTATGTGTTGTGTATGTGAGGCAGGCTCCGCAGAGTTGCTTTCAGCTCTGTTGACGTTGTCGGTGAAAATTTTGCTGCTTTGTGATTTCCCTTTCTGAAGCTTATCAGATTTGCATGCATAATACGTTTTGATGCCTTTGATAGCAAAGTGGAATTTATTTTGATAGCAACTAGTATTTCATTATTTAATTGAAAATTTAAGTTTATTTTAATATGTGCTACTTTGGTATTGGCATGTGGCTAATAGGAAATAGTATTCATGTAACGGGAAATCCTAGTTTCAAGAAAATAACAATTGATAAAGCATAATTTAAGCTGTTAAATTCGAGCAATTCAAGCCTTAAGGTAATAATCGGCTAGTAGAAAATGATGATAGTATTTTCTTTCCTTTTAAAGATTTACAGAATTATGATATTTAATTCAAAAATTCTTGTAAAAAAAATGAAGGGATTTCTTGAGCATCTTCTGAATATTAAATAAATAAATATATGTTTGGTATATAGGCCATTTGAGCAAGTATGAGTTCTGCAACTGTGCCAGATGAATCAGCGTCTGGTGTATAATATTGAAATAAACAATTTAGTTACGCTTGCGATAAGCCTGCGTTGCCTGCCTGCATTTTCTTATCAGCCAAGACAAGAAGTTGGCCCGCGTGAACGGCACGTTTTAGTGCCTGGTGTTCGTTTGTCTGGCCATTCGCTAAGCAACATAAATAGTATTATAATTAATAATAAATGTGTATCTATATCTTTGGGAAATGTATCATAAAGCAACACCAGCAACAGCAGCAACTATATAATTGACACACATTTTTCTTTCACTCTGTCTTTTCTTGTGCTGCCGCTGTCGCTGCCTACGTCAACGCAACAACAACAACAATAACAACGACGACGACGACGACGGTATCAACAACAACAGGGCCAGGTGACAGCTGTCGGCGATGATGGCATCTTTGTGGATGTGGACGGGTAAGTTGCGACAAACATTTGCACAAAAACCACCAAACGAAGGGCCTGTTCATATTTTGCGTCTCTTTACCCTGATCCCAGTCAATATTGTAGAAGGAAGCATTTTCGATACTAGATCCTAGTATATATGCAAATACTTACCAGTGT